GATGGCACTGCCGGACTCTTTCATCCAACAGCAGCAACTGGACGCCAGCATGGCCGACACCTTCCTGGAGCATCTGTGTCTGCTGGACATTGACCAGGAGCCAATCACAGCGCGCAACACCAGCATAATCTGCACCATCGGTGAGTGTGACAACCAACTGCAGTCTCAGTTTCAAGTTTGTTTTCTGGCAACGTAGCCACATCACCACAGGCCTCCGTCTGGCTGCCGGCCGTTGTTTGATCAACAACCTTTAGTCTGTGCTGCTTTACTGTCAACTCAGTATAAACACACAGAAATGTATGAAATGGTTTTAATACAGAGACAAAATAACATTGCACAAAAAATGTGTTTTTTCTTAGTTTACTAATATCTGCACACCAGTACTAAGACATCCAGTCCAGTAGGTGGCAGTAATGTACCTAAAATGAATTTGCCAACCAGAAGAAGATTGGATGCTTGAGTGACCAATGTGTCCAAGAGAAAATTATGGTGAAAAGTTTTATAAACCAAAATGGAAATGAAGTAAATTTAATTTACTTCGACAACTGTTTAATCACGGGATTTATAAAAGGAAACACCAGGGGGCAGCAGACAAGTACGGAATAGTAAACAACAGGTTCTGACCAAATGTATGTATTGTATGTATTGGCAGTGTATTATATAATTTTATCACTTTGTCTTTTTGTCAGGTCCTGCGTCCAGGTCCGTTCCCAAACTCCAGGAGATGATCAAAGCTGGGATGAACATCGCTCGTCTGAACTTCTCACACGGCTCACGTGAAGTATGAACGCTTAATGTCATATAAGAACATAATAGATGATCACAGTAACGCAAATTACACTTTGGCCTGTGTGTGTGTGTCCTCCTGTTCATCAGTACCACGCTGAAACAATCAAAAACATCAGAGAGGCCGTGGAGACCATAACCTCTGACCCTCTGTGTTATCGGTCCGTCGCCATTGCCCTGGATACGAAGGGTCCGGAAATCCGCACTGGACTGGTCAAAGGGGTGAGAATGTCATGAAGAGTCTGCATCTGAATTAACGCCATCCGAATCTACACTAACCAATCAGTGATGAGTGAGAACACGTGGACAGTCCGTCCATCTTCTCATCTCACTATGGTTGTCATTAGGAAAATATGTCGTTAAAATATGTCGAGCTAGGGTTATAGTAAAAGTGAGGGTTGGGTTAGGGGTTAGGGGTCACCTCAGATGGTGGCTTAGGGTTATTACTGTGATATTGTGTAAACAAGTTAGGGGTTAGGGGTCACCTCAGATGGGGCTTAGGGTTATTACTATTGTGTAAACAAAAACATTTTATTTTCTGTGTGTATTTTTCTTTGTGTGTGTGTGTGTGATATTGTTTAAAAAGAAAGTGGAGGAGGAGGTGATTCTGCAGAAGGGCAGCAGCGTTCGTGTGGTGACGGCAGAGAGTGACAAAGACGAGACGGACGGAAAGGTCATCTGGGTGGACTATCCAAACATAGCTGAGGTTCTGACCGAGGGAGGAAAGATTTACATCGACGACGGCCTGATTGGACTGAAAGTCACAGCAATAGGTGAAAAACATCAATTTGTATCAATCACACCATCATCATCTGTAGATTTAAAAATGACGTCTAAAATATATATTTAAGCAGTATGGGCTAACATCTATATTATTTTAAATTAGGAGATAAAGTATGGTATTTATTTATGGCAAATAAGACGTCAACAATCTACATCTGGTCGTGTGATTAAAGGTTGTTCATGTAAAAACTTTGTCGTCTCCACCTGCAGGTCCAGGTTGGGTGGACGCAGTGGTGGAGGCTGACGGAGTGCTGTGCAGTCGCAAAGGCGTCAACCTCCCCGGCTGCGACCTGGTCGGACTGCAGGCGGTCAGCGAGCGTGATGAGGCCGACCTGAGGTTCGGGGTGGCCCAGGGCGTCGACATGGTCTTTGCTAGTTTCATCCGCTCGGCCCAGGATGTCAGGGATGTACGGCGAGCCCTGGGAGCTCACGGTCGAGACATCAAAGTGATCAGCAAGGTGGAGAGTCGACAGGGGGTTCAAAAGTGAGTCTCGTAAAAACTGTTCCAACGTTTGTAAGTTTTTATGCTCAGCTATTCTGAGTTTTACGGTGAGTCAGGTCTGATGTAAGAAAATCCACTGCTGATAACAACTGTCTGTCTGTCACATATAACCGTCACTGTGAGCAGGGCTGGCTCTTGGCAGAGGTCACATTGATGGCCACATAGGCGCCACCTGCTGGAAGATAAAATTAAAAAGAAATTGTAGTGATTTGCATCCAGATGGTCCTCATGCTCATCCTCATTGGTTGACCCAATTCTGAACCTGTCATTTAACATCTTTATTCATATAATGTCATTTGCAAAATAAACTCTAATTTTATTTATGTTATCATAGTTTTAAAAAAAATTATATGATATTTATTGTGTGTTTTTGTGTTCGTTTGATCAGCAACTATTTTATGGCTTTTTAATTGTCGATTAATATTGTGGTGTTACGTGCACACTGAGGTCTAGGGGGCGCCAAACTATGCTTTCGATTAGTGCTCCAAAATGGGCCTTCTTTGATTTAAAAAAAAAATCTGCTTTATATTCCTCCCGCTCCATTTGTTTGTTTGTTTTTGTTTGTATTTTTTAAAATACTGATATTGACTTAATCATCAAATTCTGTTGTGACGTGTGGATCCAGTGCAGCTACTTTGGATTCAGATCACAGTGTCTTATCCTTGATAGGTTTTGGAGAGTCTGTTTTGTGAATCTTCTCTCTGTGCTTTCTTTTAACCCTTTCACCTCCTTCCTTTGAAACCTCACCCTCTCCTTATCCGTCTGTCAGTTTTGAAGAGATCCTGGCGGAGAGCGACGGTGTGATGGTTGCCAGGGGTGACCTGGGGATTGAGATCCCTGCGGAGAAGGTCTTCATCGCACAGAAGATGATGATTGGACGCTGCAACTCTGCCGGAAAACCTGTCATCTGTGCCACGCAGGTCAGACTCGTAGGACGGCGTTCACGGATGACACTGTTTGAAAATGAGACGAATATACTGGTACTACATGGTACTGGTACTGCAGTAAACCTGCAACCGTAACTATCAAAATAGAACCTTTTTGACTTTTCTGACCGTTCCAAATTATCTAGAGCAGGGGTGTCAAACATATGGCCCATGGGCCAAATTTTGAAAATAAAAAAAATACACAAACACTTCATGTTCAGGAAAAAGACGGACTTTTCGTTATTTATATGTAATTATGTTACGATTGTACTGGTCTGACCCGCAACGACAGCTAATAAGGGTGGTATGCAGCCCCTGAACCAAAATGAATTTGACACCCCTGACCTAGAGCGACAACATCTGCTACAGCAGTTAATATGAACGTTTGTTTGTTTGTCGACGGACTTTTCGTTATTTATATGTAATTATGTTACGATAGTACTGGTCCGGCCCGCGACGACAGCACGTGTATGCAGCCCCTGAACCAAAATGACTTTGACACCCCTGACCCCCTGAATATGAACGTTTGTTTGTTTGTTCCACTGTATCGACACACGTGTTACAACAGAACAGACGTTTACAGCACAAAACATTTTGGAATTCACACAAACTGATCCAATATATGATCCAATATATATATCCACATACACATATGTGTATAAAACGGTGATATCTGTGTATGTAGATGTTCTTCTACCTCTGCTCCCCTTCAGTCACAGCACTGTAACCACCTTATGCATCAGTCCTTGACTCACAATGACAACGTTACATCAGGTTTGCTGTTCAAACACCAACGCCGACACTGACACACGGCGCGGTTGAGCTTTGCTGCTCTATCTCCGCTATCTCCCTCACAGAAAAGAAATGCAGTCTCTCAGACGACGCTGCAGCGATCTCATCATAATGATCTGCCAAAGTCATAGTCCTGTACTGAGCTCCATTCATCCATGAACCTATTACCACTGCTCTTCACTCTCAGCCTGAAGCCTGAACACCTCACATCATCGTTTGTCATCTGTGACAAATAACCTGAACGTCATCAGGAGCAGATTCTGCCTCAGTTTTCTTTTCTTTTTTGGCAGTCATTGAAGACTAGTTTTCACTCACATGGTTTCTCTCTCTGTGTGTGTGTGTGTGTGTGTGTGTAGATGCTGGAGAGTATGGTGTCCCACCCACGTCCAACCAGAGCGGAGGGCAGCGACGTCGCCAACGCCGTGCTGGACGGAGCCGACTGTGTGATGCTGTCGGGGGAAACGGCCAAGGGACTGTTTCCTGTGAAGGCAGTTGCGATGATGCATTCGGTGTGTGTTTGTGTGTCTGTGATGAGGATTATTTCTATTCTAATGCATCAATAGACTGTATTTATATATATATGTATGTATGTATGTATGTATATATATATATATACTCAGTACATATCTACAGTAGGGGTGTCAAACTCTTTTTGGTTCAGGGTCCACATGTGACCCCCACCTGACCTCATGACCCTCTGACAACTTCTCCCCCGTCTCTCAGATCTGCAGGGAGGCAGAGGGCGCCATTTTTCACAAGCAGTTATTTGAGGAGTTGCGTCGCCTCACTCCTCTGTCCTCTGACCCCACGGAGGTCACAGCCATCGGAGCGGTGGAGTCCTCCTTCAAATGCTGTGCTGGCGCCATCATAGTCCTCACCACCAGTGGCAGGTGAGTGCTGTACTGGACTGTACTGGACTGTACTGTACTGTACTGGACTGGACTGGACTGGACTGGACTGGACTGGACTGTGTTTTAAATGTGTTGGCAGAATTCGATCTATTTCATAGTTTTTTACACAAAGATTATCATAAATATTTGATTCACTTTTTGATGCAGGACTGAAACTACAAGAACTGCCTCATCATTTAGCTTCATACATATATTCTATATAATAATCTAATATTTTGGGGGTCCCAATTATTATTAGGGTCAAGTAACCCCACACCATCTCATTTAGCTTCATACATATATTCTATACAATAATCTAATATTTTTGGGGTCCAGCTGTTCACGGGTTTCTTTTTACAAGGCCTCAAAGAACTTTGAAATTCAACCTGTGAAAACTGTCGTTTTATAGCTGTGTGGTGCAGATAACCATCAACCCTCCAAACACTGGAGTCGTTTCTCCAGTTGTTTTAATAACAAAACTGTCGTCTTTTATTGAAAATCTCTAACATTTAACAGCTGGTTTTTCCTTTTCCCACACAGCACCACCTATCTGTGGAAATGATAAATCACTTTCTCGTCCTCCTCTGTCTGTCTGTCTGTCTCTGCTCCTCGTCTCCTCAGATCAGCACATCTCCTGTCTCGCTACCGTCCTCGCTGTCCCATCATCGCAGTCACCAGAAGTCCTCAGGTATCCGTCCGTCTGCTGTTGGCTCTCGGTGCCTTTGTTTTCAGGGAAACATCACCGCGGCGCTGGTGACTCAGACTGCAGATTAATCAATACGTGGTGCCGTCACTCTCTGCTGCCACCGTCTGCTGTGGTGAATGGTGACAGGACCACTGATGGAATATGAAGGAGTCACCAACTAGTTTTAAAGTAGGTCATGATGGAGTCGGGTTTAAAACCCTGGGGGTGGGAGGTGTGTGGGGGGGTAATCTGCATAAGAACACCCCCCACCTGCTCCTACTCTATAGGCTCCACATGAAGGTCAGAGTTCACAGTCAGATTTGGAGCAGCACATCTGGACCTGGTCTAGGAGTGGACGACCGCCGTGACCCCACTTATAATGTCACCAGGGTCAAAAGGTCACCGGCTGGTTTTATAAGACTTTACCAGTCTACTCACCCCAAACTTAATTCTCTGTTTTAATAATTAAAATACAACAATGAGATCCATGTCATTTTCACTTCCAGCCTGAGGAGGCGCTGTTCACCCTATCACAGAGGGTCTATTTAAATCGGTTTTATCACAACGTTTCCACTAAGCATCATTTTTCACTGAACTGGTCAACTAAATGGGATCATGAAGTAACTTCAAAAATGTTTGTTAATGACGTCATATGTTTTGACGGTGAAATGATGACACCTACAGTTCACATCGTTCGTTAAACTGCCGTGTAAATTCAGCTGGTTCTCCTGTGTCCTTGATTCAAAAATAAATTAAACTCCTCTTTCTCCAGGTGGCCCGTCAGTCCCAGCTGCTCAGGGGGGTGTTCCCTGCTCTCTTCCATCCTCTGCCCGCCCCTGTCTGGGCCGACGACGTCGACAACAGGGTCAACTTTGGCATGAACATAGGTCTGTGTGTGTGTGTGTCTTCGTGTTCCAGTTTCCAATGTCCATCTGATGTTGTCCACTCATTGGTGTGTGATGGTGCTCCTCTCCTCACCCCTCTTCTCACCCGTCCACCAGGTAAGGCTCGAGGGTTCTTCAAAACAGGTGACATGGTGATCGTGGTGACGGGCTGGATCCCGGGGTCAGGACACACCAACATCATGAGGGCGGTCAGTGTGGAGTAGCTGGACACTCGACACGACACCGTCACAGTGAACTGCTGCAACATGAGAAACCTCCACAAACATCACGGTCGCTGAGGTGGAAATATTTTTTCAGAAAAAATGTTTATGTTGTGTAATGTTTCAAAGCGATGACTCCAAATAAAACTTGAACGTGAACACACTGTCCTTCTGTCCGTCTGCGAGGCTGAAGCTGCTCTGCTCCAGGCCGGTCCGTCTCTGTTAGACCAGGGTAATAAGAGTCTTTGTGGAACGTCGTCATTAACAGACTTCATTGAGTTTAGAGATAACGCCTTCATTTCTCTTCACAGTCTCTGCTTATCTCTCTCTCTGTAGCCGGTGAACGGCGGCAGCTGCCGGAACACACCTGCCTTTGTCCAATCAGATGACCCCGAGGAGCACATCCTGTTCCACCTTAACGAATAACATTTCTTCTCACGTCACTAATGTGCCGCAAATCCTCTTTTTTTTTCACTAATGTGCCTCAAATCCTCTTTTTCGTTTCCTCGTTTTGTTTTGTTTCTTCTTCCACTAAAAGCCTCTCTCTCTCTCTGACAGAGACTGGTGTAAATATCTCTGTGGTTAAATTACCAGCAATTTATCTTTGATTCTTTCATCTTCATCATCCTGTTTCCCTCAGGTCTTTGGTGAATAATGAAAACAAAAGCCTTTAAGATGTCACATGACAGCCGCTTCAATTCTTCTATATCAGCCTTTATTTATAACAATCTGTTTTTTTATTGACACTGTATGAGAAACAGCTGTAAGTGATGCAATATGTCAGGGTTTGATTTTTTTATTTTTTTGAAAAAAAAAACCGAGTCATTTTAAATTATTTTGCCTCATCCTGACATTGAAACTTAAAAAAAAAAAAAAAGTCGACATTTTCTGTGCCTTTTCACGAGGCGTCAGCAAAACTTTCCACATCCCTCTCTCCATCATGACCTCCCTCTCTGTTTGGGTGAGAAAGGATGACGCGCGTCCTGTACCGGTGAGGATGTGTGCGCCTCACCGGTCGGGCATGCGGCCTTGAGGGATGCGGATACCATGGCAACAGGCCGAATGGAACAGACCTCTATATAAGCACATTTATTTATTTTAATATTTCATTGACTTGGGCACCGCGTCTCAGCGGACGTGTGTGTGTGCGGCGGGCAGAGTCGGCTCTGGGGTGACGGAGCAGCAGCAGCGGCAGCGGCGGCAGCAGCAGCAGCAGCAGCCTCCTCCTCCTCCTCCTCCTTCCAGGCTCAACAAGTTGCTTCATTTACAGCTCCCATCTTTTTACGATTCGTCGGAGCGCCGATCTTTTTTATTTTTTTTTTCTGTTAGAAACAAATAGAAGTGATTTGTGAGGCACTGATGCCGCGACCGCGTGAATCCCTGTGTCCTGGAGACAACATGTCATTGAAAGTCATGGGAAGTGCGGACACAACACGGAGACAGTCTGAGGACTCGACCTCTGGACACCTGACCAAGTTGTTTCGGGCTTCAGTTTAGACGAAGACAAAAACCTCTGCCGCGGCCGCGGAGCCGCTTCAACAGCGACGTCTTTCCTTCATCACGAGGAGCGTTTTCACGCCGTTCCGACCCCGGGAATGAGAATGAAAATGAAAATGAGAATGAGGAGCCGCCGTGGACACGTTGACAGCGTGGGTTAGACGAGTGTCTCGGACTTGTTGTGCTCCGATCTGAGGCGTGCGTGTCCCGGCTCTCAGGTTGACAGTGATTTTGATGATGTCGGTTGTGCGTGTCAGGGTGAATCAGTGAGCCCGGCAGCGTGAGCGCGTGTGTCTGTTGTCATGTGCGTCCTTTCTGTCCATTAGGACGCTCCGTGTCCGCGGACACAGGATCAAATGTCCTTGTCGTTCAGCCGCCGCCTGAATCCGCTGCTTTGGAGCGAACACCTCATCACTGATGTAATGATATGTGGAGGAAGTAGCATCAACATCTGTCCTCTGTATCTGCTGCAAAGACACAACACACACGGACACTGAGCGGCCGGCGCCGCTGTCTCCGTCTGGACCGGGAATCGGGTTCTAACGTGACCGGTGTCAGAGCGCTGAGGGCGGCTGTGGAAGGGAGAGGGAGAGGGAGAGGGAGAGGGAGGCCCGCGGGCAGAGAGCAGCCTCAAGGACGTGGAAGGAGGACTGTGACCGAGACATCTGTGGGGAGGACAGAGCAGAGTAGCTGAGGACAGAGGTGGAAGTCAAGTCCAAACTGTTGATGTCTCAGTCAGTGGCGGCTTAAAGGATTTCATGTCGACATGGGGCCATTTCCAAGGGCACAGAGATAAAGGAGAAGAGAGGGCGGGGGGGGTGAGGGTGGTCTGCTCCAGCAGAATGAGCCCAGACCACAGAGGACACTCGGACACACGCTGACACCCTCACTTATATAATATAACAGTTTGGCTGAATTAACAGCAGTTTTCTCCAGGGAAGGAGTTACAAGTTGTATGAGTCGGGATGGACGGGGTGGCTGGAGGTGTGGCCACCCCTGGCAGTGCCCCTGGGTCTGGGGGTGACAGCCTGCCCAGGCGGAACGGAGGGGAGTCAAAGCGGCGCAGTAAGAGCAGCCTGCCCTCTCCTGGCTACAGGTTGTCACAGGCCTCGCTGGAAGGTGAGAAAGGCTCCTTCGGAGTGGACAGCTCTTCCACAGGTGGGCGTGGCCGACGTCTCTCCATCATGAGCTCCCCCACCTGCAGGGACGGCCTTCCCTTCCGCGTGGCGGGCACACCAACCACCCCGGTACCTCTGCCTCCTCCGCCCATCTCCTCCTCCTCCGTGGCAGCCCAGCCTCCTCCTCCGCCGCGCTCTGTCGGCTTTGCCACCTCACGTGCCACTCTGGCGTCCACTTCCTCCACCGGCACCGGTGTTATGGTGGTGGCCACCGGCGCAGAGACCACCACCACCACAGCCTGCAACACCACCGCAGCCGGGAGCCCCGAGATGATGGGTCAGTCTGGACTGGGTTTGTTCGGCTTTGGGCTGGATGGAGAGGACTACAGCAACTCCAACCAGAGCACCTTCATCCAGAGGCAGTTTGGGGCCATGCTTCAGCCCGGGGTCAACAAGTTCAGCCTGCGGATGTTTGGATCCCACAAAGCTGTGGCTCTGGAGCAGGAGAGGCTGAAATCAGCGGGGGCTTGGATCATACACCCCTACAGTGACTTCAGGTACGGAGCCACACACCGACGACACACGTGTTTGTTTAGAACTGACTTCCTGTCATTTCAACAGCCTTAACCCGAAATGACCCTGAACCACAATCAGTCAGTTCCTTCTGATAAAAGTGAGATGAAGTTAAAGACAGGGACAAATAACTATATATTATATATGTTATATTATATATCTTACATTCTTTTACATCATTTGTTTTCCTGGAGAAGTGATAAAAATGTCAACATTCTTTTACATCATTTGTTTTCCTGGATAAAAATGTCAATGTTCCCTGCACACGTCCATTAGTTTGTGTCTAAACTAAACCTAATTTCACCTGCACCAGGTCTTTAGTACTAATACTGTTCTATTTGGAGGAACAAACTAGCAGTAGTCCACACACTGTCAACAACTGGTATTACACCCACAGGCTGGTTCATAAAGTAGGACAAACAGCACTTGTAACAGAATCAAAAACATGAGAATATAAATCAAATGCAGAAGAGATTTGAGCAAGTGCACATCAAAGGTAACTGCCGGCTCTTAAATCGACAGAGATGCAGGGAAAGAATCAGATCGACAGCCTCAGTAGGAGAGAATAATCAGGACGACACATGCAGACGTCTGAGTATATAGACGTACTACATTCAGTCGGGTCCAGGAAGTGATGCGAGGTGAGGACACGATGGAGGAAAGGTCACGTCTAAAAAAAGACCGTGTGAATGAACGTAAGGAGGACAATGGATGGTGATTTTTTTTTGTTGTTGTTTCTTTTCTTCTTAACAAAAGGACAGTGCAAATGATGATTGAGGCTTCAGAGCAGACAGCACACAATGGGTTCTGTATTTATGAAATACCATGAGAGGAGCAGACGTTAGAGGAACCGGTGTTTCCACAAGAAAGAGCTTCAGGGTTGGAGGGGGACACAGATAAGAGGATGCAAATTAGGGGGACAAATTTAGCCTTGAGGTTTGGCTGTGCAGGAATCAGTGAGACATGCTGGCGTGATGTCACTTAGGTAGAATGTTAAGTGTGTGTGTGTGTGTGTGTGTGTGTGTGCCGTGGTGAACAGTGCACCTCTCCCTGCTGCTGCTCTTGAGTTCCGAGCTTGATTTTTCAGCTACCTGAACGGAACAATTAGCCGAGGAATCAATAACACTGGTGATGACACGGAGGAAATGACGCCTGAATTCAGCCACAATGTTTACAAAATCTGCAGCTTAAATTCTCTTAGATTAACCCGGCTCCTCTAAGCCTCATGGGAAGACAAGACGCAAATTAGCCTTCCCTGTTTCTGGGATGCTGCTCTTGTACACTTTTGTCCACCACAGATGGCGCTAACATACAAATAATGGTAGTAACATAGTAACATTAGGATTTAAGTTTGGTTGTTGTCAAAATCAGATGATTAGATTTATATGAAACAACCATATTAGCATTAAACTAGTAAACTCAATGTGTAACGCAAAGTATTAAACAGCGGCACTCATGGCAGGAGTTAATGTGTTACTTCGACAGCCAGTTTTAATTTAGTCTTATCCTTAATTTAGTCAGTTAATTTTTTAAACTTTTTGTTAAGATTTAGTCAACAAATAATTCATTTTAATTTATTGGATTTTATTGTTTTCATTTTTCTAAAACGTATCAAACTTGCTTATGCTACTTATAACATCCCAATCGGCAATTTGGTTCTTATGTTACTTATAATCATTGCCTTCTATTAAAGATTTAAAAAATACTTTAAGGATAATTTTTTTTAATAAAAACTATTGTTTATTAAAGATGTAGTCCCTTTAACAATGACAACTATTTTACATCCGGTCACGGTATGTCACGTGTCACGAATTAAGCGTTCCCGCTGTTTTAACGGACATGTATGATTGGATTTCCGATTACATGTCCCGCCTTTGAGGCAACAAACACAATTCCTATTGGCTCTATTGACCTAATTGTTTCCCCAAGCCCAGCGCTGATTGGATTGCCCCCGTCAGATTTGTTTTCCCTCTCATTTTTATTAGTTTACTAATGTGTTAATAAATGACATCGTCGACGTCGTTTAGCCCCAAATTACTTTGTTTTTAGTTTGCGTGTAGTTAATGTCTAAGGACATAAAGTCGTTGTCGAAGTATTTGGGGATTAAATTATGAGTCAACGCTGGTTCATGTCTGTAAGTCACAATTTCTTCCTCTTCTGTTTTTTTACGACGTGTGCTTACGCCAACCTCCGAATGTTTAGATGTCATGGCGTCTTATCTCAAAATTGAAAAAAAAAATCCCACAAAACTTTAAACAAAAATTGTCTGGTTTTGTTAAAACAACAACGACAACAACAAAACAAACAGGACCGAGTGAAAATATAATCGCGTGTTGAAGAAAACACGGCTGCGTCTGTAAATGGACGACGCTGTCGGCTGAGAAGACAGCTTCGTAAATGTCAACTGTGTCCCTCGTGTTTACGGTAGTTCTAATGGGTTGTTTAGGCCCAGGAGTCATCCGTTCCTCGTTGAAGACTTTAATTCACAGTGTGAGTGTGTGCAGGTGGACAGAAGAGGGAGGGGCGGCATTTAAGGTCTCCAGACACACTGCTGCAACAATTGATGACTTGATCCCCAAGGCTCCTGCCCCACTTTGGTCTCATCAGGCTCTCACACACCGACTGAGTCTTTCTGTATCATCTGTCAATATAATGATCACAAGTGTTGCTTCAGAGCCTGGCCAGGAGAGCTGTGGTGGATGAGAGTGAACCAGGGATTAGGTTTAGATGAACGGGTGGATAAATGATGTA